CCTACGCTCACCAGCCCTGGTGCACGTACTCTGACAGGATGGATCCTGTCTGCATCCGAGCGAGGAAACGCGCACCCGCACGGACCTGCACTTGAGGTGAGCGTAGGGAGGTGTACGGCCGCGTAGTCCCATAGAGAAGGACGGGGGCTGCGTACTAATCACACGCAGCACCTGTCCTTCCCGGGAGCTGCCCAATACGGCCGTGCGCGCAGCACAGAGCTGTACGTGCCGGCCGTTTACAGTGTTATTGAGGGCTTAAAGACGATATCGCCGCTCTTGGTTTGAAACATTGCTGTTCCAAATTTTAACACGGGGAACAATGTTTAGAACTGCTGAAAAAGTCCCTCTCAAAAGTTAGCGTAAAAGCCACACACAAAAAAAAAGGTCCAAAAACTGCATTTGCTTCAAAAAAGGCATTTTAGGGGGAAACTAACATATTACAACAAAGAAGCAATTCATTTTTCTTTTTATGTGTTACTTTTTTTGTTTTGTTACAAGTCTATCAATACTAACCTGACCTGGTTTAACGTGTTTTTCTAAACAGCTTGTGCACAACTAAATGCAAAAAAATTGAATACTGGGCACCCTGAGATAAAAAAAGGAGAAAAAAGAGAAAAGAAAAAAAAGGATCTGCTTGAAGCCAGACTAAACATGCAATTTAACTTAGGACAAATCATAGCGGCATCTAGAAATCAAAAAGCAAAAGACTTATTTACAGGTTTCACCACCGGGGGTCTATTTCCAGAGTGCGCTTCTAAAATAGAACTTTAGAAAAGTACGGGAAACACTCCGCGTAGCACTTTTGCTGCCGTCAAGGTCTTGTTTTCTTAGCACTGTTTGCAAAACTCCTTTTATATAAAACTAAAATCAACCTTCCTCCAAAAATATACACATTTATAAAACAGCCTTTACGTGTTACGATTGCTACCAGCGAGTGAAACAAAAACAAAACAAAAAATTGCTATAATACCGCCAAATGTTTCTTAACAAAAAGCATCAAGGAAAAAAGGTAAGAACGCCAACGGCCCAGGAACAAGATCAGCAGTGAAACAGAATTTTATTATCAGAACTTTTTTTTTTCTCTCCATTTTTTCAACACAAGTTTTTTTTTTTTTTTTTATTCCCTCTTTTTTTTAGCAATTTTTTTTCTTCTTTTTAAATACACGATGCTCGTGCCATCAGATGGGTCCTTTAGTGCACTTTTAGGTTTGGTAATACTTAAATGATGTGATGAAGACCGACAAGAATATGGCTTTTCAATCCACAAAAAAAAAAAAGTAGGAGAGATACAGAACAAGAACTTGCCCCTCCCACCCCATCCGAAAAATAAAAATGAGGAAATTAAAATAATTAAATATGAGATTGTCGGAGGAAAGGTTATCCGACAAAGTCTACGCAGCACATGCAGTTAAAGCCA